AGTTAGTCTTCTCCTAATATGAGAGTACATGTGGGATCCAGGCTGTGCCCAATGGAGAGGAAACACGAGTTGTATTGTGCTTCTAGTTACATCCTTGTAAAACAGAAATAAGCAGGCACAGGACCTTATAGAAGGATTTAAGTCAGTTTGCCATTTGACCTATATTTAGGGAATATTTTTAAATTAGGTGAGAATGCAAATAGGTATTTGAAAGGACCTCCTGTCCCTCCATCCCAGTCAGAGGGAACACGCAGTATGCAGACAACAGTGAAGGAATGATATCTGAAGTCAAAGATCTGCATTTGGCAAAACTGGCACTTAGCATGTGTCTTATTTAAGAAAAAAGCATGACCAACTTCTTTTGTTAATAATGAAACTTTGATTTAGATAGACTAAATGAGTAGGACAGACAGAGTCCTGGTGAAGTTTTTCATGTACCCATCTAGGTTTTTCGCCTAGCGGGGCAGATACACCTGACCAAGCCAGCCATCCCTTTTTCATTGGCCTGGGTTAGAATAGAAGAAGCCATGAATATTTTCAAGAGGAAATGCGGGTACTTGGCAGGACTGCCATGCTGCCCTGCCACCTGCTCTAGCAGGCTGGCAGAGTGTTTTACCCCAGCCGCAGTGGCTGTGTTGGGCTTTTTTTTCCTGTGTTTTGTTTTGTTTTGTTTTGTTTTTTTTTAATTCATTCTGCTTTAAGTATAAATTTGTTTGTTTGTTCCCATCAAGATCAATTTAACTTCAATAAGTTGGTAACAGCTTGAGTACAGAAAGACTTTGTTAAGAGATCCACACCCTCACACACACAGTCCACACATGACCTGATGAATATAGACCCAGCTATTTTTTTACGAGCAGTAAACATGACAGCAGTCTCTCACAAAGAGCCTGACTGCTCAGTTCTGATGGTTCTTGCAATACTATTTTAACTCGAAAAATGGTATACAGTAAAAAGCTTGTGCTCCTATAAAGAGACAGAAAAGCACAATTTCAATAAAAACCAAAACACTGGAAACAGCTCATCTCATAAGTGATGTAGCCTTTGAAGCAGTGAGATTTGTTTGCTTTGCCATGTCTCAAAGAGATAAAGTTGTACAAATCTAGAAATGGGATTCAGATCGCTTGTTTCTCCATTGTGTTCCCTAAGCACAAGACTGCCTTTACTCCACATCCCAAGAAATGTATATATTAAAAGAAACCAAAGCAGTGCTCAAAAAGCATTTAAGTAGCAGTAGTTGGGACAGATTTGCTACTGTGGAGGTCTACTGCCCACCTCTTTACTGTGTTTTCTGAGATTTTGACCTCAGTACATCGTGGTGACCAGTTTAGCTCAGGAAACTGAAGTGCCAGTCTGGGAAAATTAAGATTCCCCCAAAGGTATTTGTTTTCAGAAACGAGTGGTTAAAGGGAGAATAAACAGCCTCTCAGCCCACCTGTCTTCTTCAACAAAAAATATTATTATCCTTCTAGTTAGCACCAATTTAGCTTTTACAAATGCAAAGGAAACACAAAGGGTACCATAGCAATCCAAAACCACCATACAGTTTGTTTTCCAATTTTGTCATTCCACAGCTTGCACAAAGAGCAATTTTCTGTCTGGTGTCTGAGCAAAAGTAGAAGTCTTGTGTTCTGGTCTCAGTTTTGTAAATGACCCTTTGGTCCCACAGGGCATAGGCATTTCTGTCACTCTTTTAGTTATGTACTCCTCCTTCTCATAGCTCCGTAAGATGCTTTTTCCTTTGCACTTAGTCCCCTGCGTATTGACTTGGCATTTCATATTGCTAAGAGGCTCCTGTGGAAAGCATGTAGAGTCTGGAGGGTGCACCTCACTGGTGAACCTCAAAGCGATGCTCAGGTGAGGTCAGTGCAGGGACCTTTGGTGAAGCATACTCACTGCCTTCTGGCCTGGGTGCTGTTCAGTCTTCTTCTGAGTGTCTCAGGAGAGTCACAGGATGGGTGTGATGGAGATGGGTAACGGTGCACCTCCGCCCTGGTGTGTAGTGTGGCATAGAATTGGCTAATCTGATTTCCAGACCTGCACTGCCTGCAGCCCAACATATTTTTTTTTTAAGTTTCTCAGTCAGCAGCACCAGAAGAGGAGTAAAGGAGGGTGTGATCTGCCAGTTCATGCACCCAAAACCAATCCTACTAACAATTTGTGGAAAGAGGGTGTTTGTTATAAAACAGTGGTATTTAAAAATGTAGCTATGAACCATTGTTGGCCAGTTTTAGGGTTTTTTTGGAATGGAAGAAAGAAACATTCTATAATTTTTTAAACAAATAATTTAATTCCCAGGAGTGTTTAAACAGAAATGTAATTAATCTGAATAGTGGTAACAGATTAAATCAGTTAACAAGGGCATAGAGGTTGTTTACCCCTTTTTTTTTAAAGTAACTATTTTAAAACAATTACCCTTTGTTAGTATTTCACTGTTAGAATTAGGCCAATGTTGTGGGGTTTATGGGTAATTCTTTGATATCATATTTTTATCTTTCTGTTGGTTGTGGTAAAAAGATATCAACCTACCACTTGCTAACTTTTATCCAAGATTACATTAGATCCATTTAAATTTTACATAGTCACAGCAGGATCGCATCACTGGTTGTTCTGTGCCATGGAATGAGAAGAAGAGTAATTTTACAGTGAGGTCGTTCACTATGAACACTGAGGAGCAATTTGAGAGGGGAACTACAGGATTGAAATAGACAATTCCTATATGATAAGAGTTAAGAGTCCCTCAGCCTGCTGTAACATGTATTTTTTGCTTGCTATCTCAGTTCCCCTGTTGACACCCATAATGGCTGTAATGTGGTTTTGGATTTGCATTGGTGCTGTTGGGTGCATGATGCTGCTTTTTTCCCCATTATCTTTATTTCCTTTTCCTTCCCCTTCTGAACCCCAACTTGTCTCTCAGCTCCCAATGACTGGATTTTCTCAACTTCCTGAATTTTAAAAGCCTTCCCCTTGTGATGAGATCCAAACTAACTGGGACGGTTTTATGATACTATGCCATTACATAACCAAAGGCCATAGTTTCTGTTTTTAAAGACTGTATGTTTACACTGGTCTTGGCAAAAGCCTCTGGCCACTTACAACAATGTCTCCCAGCTGACTGCATAAAGGCAAGCAGCAACTGTATTTTGGGAGACTTATTAAGGCTCCTTCTGTATTTGTTGTTTTCTCCTGATGGTTCAGCTCTGATGACGAACTCCTTACCAGAACTTCTCCTTTTGTTAAAAAGGAGAAAAAAGCAATTGTGGTTCAGAGAAAAGTTACAGATTTGACTGGGGTGCAGTTTAAAAGCTCAGAAACTTGTCAGTGAAGAGAGTCAAAAAAGCAACTCTCTTTGAAACCTGATTAAAGAATTTCCCCTTCGTCAGTCTAACTGTAAGTGTAAATAAAACTGTAAATATAAACAGAAGAGTAAGTCTCTTTGGGAGGAACCAAATAAAACCAACTGCAGTCTTTGCTCAACTAAACCATTACAAACCCAAGGTTCATTCCATGGAAATCAGGACAGAGAGTAGTCTTCAGAGTGACAAAACCAAGATGTCCCAGGGGTATGAGCTATACAGTTCTGCGGAGGCAAGGGAAAAGCTGACTCAATGCCTTGGCGTTCAAACCATACACAAAATAGCTCCATCTTATGCGTCTTCCTTGCTGGAGGGGGATCTGGGAGATGAATGCCATGCTCTTGCTCTATTTGTTTTACAGTATTTACATGTCTGTCTTGTAAAGACATGCTTGTGTCTGGAGGGCTGGGCCAAGGCTGTCCTTCCAGGGAGTACACAAATCTGGGGATATGTCTCTTAAAAGTAGCAATGCCACTCATTGAATGTGGTAGGGGCAGATAAAGCCTTTCCAAGGGAGTTAGTTAGAAGGCATAAAACTTGGGCACTGCTATTGACTACAGGGACCTGCTGCAAGATGTGACCATTCCTTGCAAACCTCCTGGCTTTTCAAGGTTTGTGACAGCTAAGCAGTCGGCTTTTACTTGTTTCTGCTACTGCTCTGTGCTACATAACAGGTTGTTATTGCAGTTTAAAAGCTAGGAAAAGGCATCCAAGAGTGCTGTTAACTTGGAAAACAGGAATGTTTCCTTATTTTCCCAGAAGATATGATATCTTGACTTTTGAATTATTTTTTTACTAACCACGTTTCCTGTAAAGTTGCGTGTGATGGTATTTCAAATTGAATTTAGAAAAATAGAACCCTTTTCCTCCACCCCCTCATTAGAGAAAACCATCTGCACAGTTTGATGACCTATTTTCATTTATTCAGGAACTTGTGAGAAATCCTGCCTTGCCCAAGTACTCAGGCTCTTAAAAAAGTCTAGTTTTTGAGATCATAGCTTTCTTTGTGTAAAATCCTATTTAGTTTGTGGATTAGTCACCCAAGTAACCTAATCCACATGCTAAAGTTCTCATATAATTGAGAAATACTAAGTAGAAGAGCTGATATTTTTATTTTAACTGAACTTAATTTCTCACCTTGCATTTTTATTTTATTAAATGCAATACCCAAAGTAGTGATTTGGCCCTTTAATGTATGTTTTTTTTAAAAGTACAAGTACTTTTAAACCTGATGGTGCTAAACCACTACCCCCTTCAAATGCATTTAATTTTGAATTATGGTAGTTGTGCGTTTCTGCATGCAGTGGACAGCTTGATAACGTTGTCAGCAAGGTTTTCCAGTTGAGACCTTCTGTAAGAGATACTGTGCAATAGGCCTGGGAAAATTTGCAACACACATAATAACACCCCTAGGAATTTTTATTCCAGTAGTAGTAAAAGGCAGTCTATTCCGAACATGGAAATATTTCAGAACATTATCAGAAGTCCTCTACAGCTTCTAATGTATTTAGAGGTTCAGAATTTCTCATATTGTGGTTTTCATTCTGTTAGTCTAAGGACTAGAGCTGGTAGCTGTCCTGCACATGTAAGCATAAGGGTGAGGTGACCCGAATTTTAAAAATATTTGTTTTTTTCTTAACCTAGAATAACAGAGTTGATTGGATACCATCCAGAGGAGCTGCTGGGCCGTTCAGCATATGAGTTCTACCATGCCTTGGACTCAGAGAGTATGACCAAGAGTCACCAGAACTGTAAGTCACATTCTTATTTTTCTTCATAGTTTGCACATAAAGCACAGCTTGCAGGTACCTCAATAGGTAGTTGAAAATACAAATGCACTTTGTGTGCAGATATTCTCTGAGAACAGTATTTTTGCTTTGCAAGAAAGCTCACAGGTTACCATGCTTGTCTAGCTAAGACCTGCTGCTGCTATTTCCAGACATCTGATTTTTGCCATAATTAAGACTAAACTTGGATGGTAGAGAAGGAGAATCACTGTCTCTCAAAGGGATAGTACAAGGATCAGCTGAAAATTTGAAAAGCTGAGTTAGGCAGTGCTAGCCTGGTGAAAAGTGCATTTACTGGTGGCATTATCCTTCCAGTGTGCTGTTGGGCTCAGCAGGAAAGCAGCTGTAAAGGGTAATAGGTAATATTCCAGTGTATTTTTGAATGTATTCTTTCTGCTACCAATTAACAGCTCTCTTCCCCACCCAAAACAGATGTGCAAGGAGACTTTTGAAAAGGGATATTAATTATACAAATAATATATACTGCCAGGAACAGCTGCTGCTTTTTATTCTTATGCCTATGTGAACTGTCAGTTGTAGCTGTTTGTAATGTAAAGTACCTGAATTATTCCAGGAGCAGAGATAGAGATCAGATCCAAGATCTGCTCCCTCTCTTCAGCAGGCCACATAGTTACACTTTTTCTCTCTCTCTCTCTCTCTCTCTCACATAAGGTGTCTTAAAATTATTGTATTTAAATCTTTAGTCTTTGTCCTTAGAGTTGGCTCTATGGCTGGAAACAGCACAGTGCACTCATGTACAAATGACATTTCCTACCCTTGGCTGTTACAGCTACTGAACAAGTGCATGGGAGAGTTCTCAGCAACATATCACTAAAATGTCTGCTGCTGTTCTTTTTGTAAAAACAAAGCAAAGCTCCTAGAGACTGGAGTCCACAAGCTAAAAAACAAAAATATCCCACCTTGTAGTTACTATGATCAAGGTCTCTGTCCTCAGGAAAAAGCCCATGACTTAGGTCATGTCTGTAAGGAATTGCCCATCAAGTGGACATACAGAAATATTTCTGTACTTCCCAAAGAAAAGTAGCAGCAAAGAATAAGTTTCTGACCTTAAGGGGAAAAGGGAATATGTGTTAGCTCTGATGGCAAGGATTCAGGACAGCTCTGAGTTGAAATGTTACTTGAAAGAATGTTTGGCAGTGATTAAAGCTGTGTGCTGTAAAACTGTATTGGTATGAATCATCCTGTTTCCAGAGCTGCTTTAAAAAAAAAAAAAAAAAAAAAAAAAAAAAAGAAAAAAGAAATCGCGCTATACTTGCAGAGAGTTGTCTGGGAATGTATTTGTTAAAATTGTTTCTTAGGTAATGTGTTCATGCTTGTAACAGTGAAAAGGAATTAGTGACATTTATAGATAGGATGTCCATACCCTATGCTGGGCTATCAAGAGGCACCCTGAGAAATGAGTGGGTATGCTGCACTGTTGATTTTGAATCATTGTATTGCATTTCTAAGAATGGGACAACACTGGGGAGGGAATGAAATGAGACCTGGCAGTCTCTTTGGTAACAGGAATGAGAGAGCGAGCCCTTTTTGGTTGTCCCTATCTAGTTAATTAAATGAGACCATTGAGTTGGGACTTGTCCATGTAAAGCTAGGTGGAAGGTTTCCAGTACCCATCTTGACCACACATTGATGGAGGTTACTCCTCACTCTAGCAATTCAATTCACCTCGTGTAGTGCAGAGTTAATGTCTAGATGCCGTTTGTGCCTACTGAAAAGGGCCACGTCCTACAAGTTTTCGCTGTTGGGCATGAGGTCTGATCGAGAAGCAGAATGAAAGTCTAGAAGCGTAAGTTAAACCAGCAAAAATGCTCGAGGCACTGTGCGTTACACAGGTTATAAATATTTAGGATCAAAGTGTTCCATAGTGTTTATGATAGCACAGGATCAGCATGGATGATCTTTTAATGTTGGAAGCACAGGACTAAAATCTGTGCTGTGTTGCTCACAACAGAACCATCAGTTTACATTACCAGCAAATTTGACCTCTCTAGTTTTTCTAAGATAAATACTTTCCATGTCTTCTGGGACAGTCAGGCTTCTTACCAACTCAGAGAACAACTGGAAAGGCAAAGTAACAGCAAGCTGTGGCTTGAGAAAACACACATAAGCCCTCCGATAGGTTTCATAATGTGTGCCATTGAGATAGTCTAATGCATAGAGTGACCAAGCAGGTATATAGCTTATACACAACTTACTAGTTCTTCTAGCACATAGCTATGCAGAACTTAGGAGTTCTTCCTGGCCATGTTAATTTATACATGGAAATATCCACCTTAAAATTAATGTTCAGAACACTTGTGTTTATTAAACAATAATTTTTATTAGAAATAGGCTATGTATAGAGTATGTCTTAATGCAATAATACAGTCACCAATTCTAAAAGTGCCAACCATTTAGTGTTATAAAGATGGACAGGAAATAGAGGAAGGAGACTGAAGTTTGAAGAGAGGGAGAAAAACCTCAAATGAGTCTCTTGGTAGAAGCAGAAGTCCTTTCCTTTTCTTCCTTCTAATTTAGTGAAAAATCATGCTTATTGCAGTTTTACTTACTGTACTGCAGTTTGTTGATTTTTTTTTTTTTTTTCTTGAGGTGAAATAACCACCTCACATTCAAGCAAGCCACAATAGTGTTTGTGTTCTTGGCTGGAATTATAGTTGCATATAGAGTAGGAAAATTTTAATTAGTCACCATCAAATGGAAGATTAGAATGTGTTTGGCAGTATTTAGCATATCCAGTTTTTTACATGTTATGCAAGCAAGATGAAAATCTCAGTCTTGTTACCTAAATCTACAGGAAAGATTGACTGCAGAGCTCTTTTTCCAATTCGGTGATTAATAGTCTATAACCGCTTCCATCTAGAGTGTGGTCTTGCTGCCATTTAAGCCAATGGGAATTTTGCTGTTGAATTCAGTGGGGAGCTGAATGTCACCATCTGGGACCTGCCACTTGGTAGTACATAGCAGAAGTTCGACAAGCCTTCCAAGTGAATCATGTTGCTCAAGTGTCTTTCAGCAATTAAAAAAAAAAATTGGCATTCAATTAAATTCATACTTGCCTCCCCTTTTCTCCACTCAAACATAAGGAATATAATTAGAGCCTATTTCGTTGAGATGTTACTAGTTCTTTAAAGATACAGGTAATGTATACTTTTTTAAAAAAAGTGAGAAGTTCAGTCTGAAGGCAGAACCTTAAATGTAGTGTTAATTACAAAGTCAGCAGTTACAAGTGTATTAGTAATTTATGAGATTACCCCACAGAGGGATTCTACTGTACTTTATTATATCAGAACATGACATGCTTTGAATAATAATAAAAAAAAAGATTAAAGCAGTAAAAAGCTTCTTTGTAATGTAACAGGCGCCCACACTGTGACTCTTATTGATGAGCTGATGATTAGGAAGCAGTATAATTATGTTTCACAAGCAGAGCAGAACAGTCCAGTCACTAAAACGCTTTGAAATGAAAGCCTTTTGATTTTGTTCCACCAGAAGTATTTAATCAATAAAAGTAATGTTCTACTTTGTCTAAATAAATTAAATGAAGGATGATTAAATACTCCTAGGAAGAAAACAAACAAACTTCAGAGATAGAAGGATAAACACAGCAACAATTATCTGCAAAACAGTTGTACAAATCCAGGCCTGTGAAATGCAACATTTATATGGTGGCAATGTAGGAGAGACTTGACAATAAATAGCTTGTGTTAATGACCACACTCACAAGGAATTTTTCTGTACAAAGACTGCAGAATCAAGTTTCCAGCCTTACTGAGTCAAATTACATTTTTTTTAGGGCATTAGTTTGATGCCATACTGTCTTCAGGCATAAAAGCTGTTTACAAGGGAAGATTGCCAATGTGGTCAAAGGTTTAGTTGAGACAGTTCCCACTTTTGCTACTCGGTGCAACTATGTCTGCTTATAAATACAAACTCTCATTAATATGAGTATCACTTGCATACTCCAGCCCTAATTTTATTTCCATTGATCAACAATATTTTTCCTCAACTGACAACTGTGAATTGCATAACAGTGTTCATTGCTTTTAGGAAAGGATTTACAACAGACAGGGCATCATAAAACTTTACATCTCAGAAGTCCAAAGCTCCATACTGAAAACTTATTCTCTACAAAATACTGGGGGGTGGGGGAGGAGGTAGCTACAGGAGATAGGATTTCACCTTTCAAACATCTAGATGAAGCTTTAAACCCAAGTTGTACTATTATCAGTTTATTGATTGAGAAACACAGGTCAGTTAAAAAAAAAAATTAAAGTTAAATAAACATTTGATTTGTCACAAGGGTCTTGGTTCCTTCTAGGCTGCCAATTTCAAGCTGCTGCAGAGGAACAACACAGTTCAAGCAGACAGAGAAATACAGTAGTTCAGCTTTCTTTTTTCTCCTAGGCAAAACAGTCCCATTTACTGTTCTTAATTTTGATACTTCTTTAAGAGTGATATTAACTTCTTCAGCCTCTTAAGACCAATACTGTGCCAGTGATACCTTCACTTTGTGTTGATATCTCCAGCTCCTAACTCTAACTTATAAAAAGAGATAAGCATAGATTTAAACTGTGAGATTTTTTTTTTTAAATTTTTTTGTGAGTGTAGCTTTCAAATCATCTGACTCTTGGCCTTATCCATCACCTAAATAAATTCACTTTTCTACAGATCAACTTGGGAGCCTAAACTGAGGCACTTCTAGAACAGGGACTTTCAAGAAACATGCAGCAGGCATTAATTCGGGGAGCAATTAGGATCTTACATTAAATACAAAAAAAAAATCCCAGACCCTGATATGAATACTCGGACCATCTGAAGAACTCAAATGGCATCCTGAGACCTCAAATTAACAGCCCCTTTTATATTTAAAATGGCCACTTTTCCCCAAAGTTAAGCATTCTTGCTAACAAATGTCTTAGTGTAGTTTTGTATAATGAAAACTCAGAAGCAGGTTTATTTAAAGCTAGTGTTGCATATTGTGTGTTCTGTCCTGCCTCATTATTTATATCTCTCTGCCCTCTTTTCTCAGTGTGTACAAAAGGTCAAGTAGTGACGGGCCAGTACCGTATGCTTGCCAAGCACGGTGGATACGTATGGCTGGAGACTCAAGGAACGGTGATTTACAATACACGCAACCTACAGCCTCAGTGTATTGTCTGCGTCAACTATGTGCTGAGGTAAGTTTTATGGGACAGAAAAACCATGTACGGATTCATGTGCTGGAAGAAATGCAATAGTCAGAGGAACTTTTGAAGGGTCTATTTATTCAGTGTTGTTATTTTGAAATCAGTTTAGTCATGTCTGTTCAGTCTTGTTTACTGATGTTAGACATCGATGAAAAATGTGGCATGCCCGTTCCCATACACACTGTTGAAATACACTACGGCCTGTCTCTTCTGCAGAGTGTCTGCTCTGCTGATACACCAGAGAATCTGTAATGAAGATTTTGTTGTGTAAGACAACTGCTAATACGTTTTGCTTTTCTAATGCTGTGACAGGGAGATAAAATTAAGTCATAATTTTATCTTCTGTTGTTAGGAGAAGCTCTTTTCTGCCTCAAAAATCAGTCCAAATCAGCAGGTTTTGCCTCTGTTTGGCAAAACTCAAGTATTTTTGGTCCTAGATGGGGCTAAAATAGGAAATGCTTATTTGAGTGATAGTCTGGGTCATTATAGCCTCAACTACATCTCTTTAAAAAGCACAGCAGCAAAGCCCCGAGTATTTCCACAGAAGTCCTGACCACACTCTCTGCATCATCTGAGATGGTGGTGCTCAGCAACGCTGGAACCATGCCTTGCCTGTCGAGCCTGGCAAGCAACTAAGAGATGCCAAAACGCTTGTACAGGCCCAGCTTTAGAGAGTTTGTACTGCCTACATTACCCACGTCTTTTTTTTTTTTAGAGTGCAAAATACCTAAAACCTATTTTCTTGTTAGTGAAATTGAGAAGAACAATATTGTGTTCTCCATGGACCAAACGGAATCACTCTTCAAACCTCACCTGCTGACGATGAGCACTGCCTACGAGAGCGGCATCCCTGGCCCAGACAAGAGTGACTTCTTGTTTACTAAGTTAAAGGAAGAACCAGAGGAACTTGCTCAGCTGGCACCAACACCTGGTGATGCCATTATTTCCCTGGATTTTGGTTAGTGTTTGTATAAATAATTTTTGTGCAACAAAGAACCACGTATGAGCGTACATTTAGAAACCTAACAGCCAAGGTCTGTTTGCTGTGTGTACAAATTAGGAGTAATGGTTATAAGAGCCCACATGCTCACACCAGTGGAAAATTTCTGTGAATGAGAGCGGAATCAGGCTTTCTTGCTGACTAAACAACATGCATTAAGTCTATGCCAACTCATTGCCACGGCAACTAGGAGCAGTGTTTACTTTCAATGAATAGCTGCAATTATATCATAACACAGCACAACCTAAAAGCATCCATTAATATTGTTAAAACTCCATGCAGGGACACAGAACTTTGAGGAAGCCCCTGCCTTCACCAGTGCTGTTTTGACACCAACCAAAGCATCACCAGCGGAGGTGAAAAGCCACACTGCTCAATGTGAAACACTGACAATACCATCCTTTACAATGCCTCAGATTGCACCTGGCAGCAGTACTCCAAGTGCAAGCAGCAACAGTAGCTGTTCCACGGTAAGAAGAGCTTTAAGTGAAAATGCATGTTATATTTTGTATGTAAATCCCATCAATACACGTAGATGATGTTTTCACGTTAGCAGACCTATCTTATTGCTTACTAGCAAGGCCCAGTGTACCTGCATCCCTCCTGTACCGTGTGTAGCTTAAGCATCAATAGCAAAAACATCAAATGGGAGCTATATCCTCCCTTTACATTGAAATCTTAATTTTCTCCCAGATGTACCTATAAAACAACTAGTAGAAAGAACATGCCACCATCCTTCATGGAGTTAGCCTTAAATAAAAAGCCCATGTAAAATGGTGTGGTCACTAGCAACATTGCCCCAGGCCCATACGGCCCCTTTCTGTTTGTTAACTAGAAGCTATAGTCTCTAGCCCTGAAACTTTACCCTACTCAGACTTTTGAGTGCAGCTCACTGCTCAGTTCCTCACTGAAAGAATTAATGTGCTTTCAGGGCATTGCCCGCAAGAACTGGAGCCACTCTTAGCCAGGCTTTACTAGAGGATGTCAAATTTTAATAAAGACATTGAGGTAGTGCTAATCGTCTCCCTTCTTGACACGAGTATTTATTTAACAGTATACATCTCATGTTGCTGGTCTGATTTGCCAAAAAAACCCCATTTAAACTAAGATGACAACTAGACTCCCCTATTGGGTGCCTTTGTTAATCAGTGTAGCTCTTAGATTTTGTAGTGACAAGTAATCTTGTGTTGGAGAAAACCACATGCTAGCAGTGGACAGTTTTGGGTTCCAAGGACACTATATATACAGCTTGGTATCATTGCTTGATCTGTTCCTGAATAGCACAGTATAAATTGCATGACACTAAGCCAATACTGTGGTTGTCTTGCTGCTTATAGCAAATTCTTACTTCTGTGCAGCCAAGCAGCCCAGGAGATTATTATAGTGCTGTGGATGAAGATCTTAAAATTGAGGTGATTGAAAAACTCTTTGCCATGGACACAGAATCAAAAAGTCAGTGCAACTCTCAGGTAAGGAAGTAATGTCTCTTCCAAAAGCCATAAAAATCAATTCCCTGCAAGCAGGTAGTACAGATGCATCCTATATGTGCAGATATAGTAACATACATGCAAACTGCATTTGCACATGTACACCAAAACTTTGATGTGCAACACTAACAAAAATACACGCTTTCAAAAGCTGGCATGTAAGTGTCTCTCCCTAATTCTCTGAAGCAACCGCCTTAGGATGTCACTGTGGTGGCACTGCTAAGAAGAAAGCAGCAGCAGAGAGCTTTCAGAATTTGGACACTTCTGTAGACTGGATAAGGAATACAAGCAGCGGCATTTCTTTTTAAATCTGGCCTCATGACTAGCAAGTAAGCATCCTTTCTAGAACAAAATATAAATAAACTAATGCTTGCAAAACCTCAAAGTGAGAAAGAAATGCCCCTCATAGCACATGCCTCCTTTAACTAGAAAATGAAAACTCTCATTTTGGATAGATTCCTCTTGTCTTACCTCTTGGAGGATTTCAGAGAGATGTGACAATTACTTGCACATAAAGTAACATAACGTATCAGTCTCCTGCATGCTAATCAGGGTGTAAGCGTAGAAATTCCCTCTATAAATAACTCTCTTAATTCTCCACTATTGTAACACTACATCAAACGAATAAAAGCTGTAGGCCTGATTCATTCCACATAACTTTAGGTACTTAATTGAAATGCCTTTGTTTAGAGCTTATATTTCTTACTAGTTAAGAGAAAGGAACAGGCACTGCTGGCTGTCAGCTCAGACCTTATACTTATCTCCTTCTATTAATCCTATGGAAAGTTTGGGGGGATCTGGCCTCAAATGAAATGCCTCAATTTGCCAGTGCAATTTGAAGACTTGCTAAGATACAGGTGTAGTCCATATCCTGAAGAAATTTAATCTCAGTTTGGACACAGAAACAGCAATGAAAGCAATAGAAAGAGTGGACAGATAGGAAAAAACACAGTTCAGGATCAAGCTCAGTGCAAGGCTTGACATGTGCAACATTCAGTTTTGTCAGACTCAGCATCTGCTTGCACAGGTGTGTCCCACCCCATCAGCAGGTTTTTGTGGTGGGGAAGAATGAGCATTAGAAAAGTGCCTGTCATGAGCTGACTGGTGGGCCAACGTTCATTTCCCTCTCTGTTCAGCTCTGGTCAAACACCAAGATAAATGAATTTAAATATGACTAGTTCTCCAAGGGAAGGAAAAAAAAAAATCAGATTTAAGTGCAATACTGTCCTTTCAACTACATTTTTGTAAACTTGTGCATTTTAGATGGGTTTTTTTTTTTCATGTAGCTCTATTATGAGAAAGCTGTGTTTTCTATTTTAGCATTAAAAAGCCTGAGGTTGAACTGCATGCCACATGTTGTAGAGTCTTGGCAGACAAGTTATTCAAAGCTTGATGAAACACAAGATCTAATTCAGATCACTGTGATGTTGCAGGCTGCATGCAAGCTGCTTTAGCAAATACTGCTTATCTGGAAGATTTTTTTCTTCAGTTTGTTGTCTGTCTTTGCTGCTGATGATACAATGAACATGTATGCTAGTTATAGAAATAAGACACCTTTAAATAGGAGCTGTCCAGTTTCACGTAGGTAAATTTGGCATATAGTCATTTTTCTCAGCCTCACATATACTAGTATTTCATCTCACAGTTAACTGCCACAACTGTTATTAACTTTTAGTTTCTTACTTTATTTTTGTGCAGACTGACTTCAATGAACTGGACCTTGAAACCTTGGCTCCTTACATTCCTATGGATGGAGAAGATTTCCAGCTCAGCCCAATCTGCCAAGAAGAATGTCCTCTCTCGGAAAGTGCACAAAATACCCAGCAGAGTCTAAGTAGCATGAGTACCATCTTCCAACCCCTTGCTTCTGCTTCACAGAATCAGTTCCTCCCAGAGAAATACTGCCCACAGCTATCAAATAAAAACATTAACCCTGGTCATGACTCCCTGTCATCGGTGTTCTTCAACAATGTGACTAGGTCATCGCTGCCACCGTACTATGACCAAGCCACCACTCCCCTGTCTTCGATGGGAGGAAGACCAAACACCCAGTGGCCACCTGATCCCCCATTAGAATATGTTCCTGCTACATGGAGACTCAGGGATAAATACTCAGGATCCCTATCAAGTTCCCCTTCAGGGCCACCAGTACCTTCTCCCAGCATGCCCATATATAAAAAAAGGTAAGAGTTTTTGGGGTATAACTATGTATTTCACTCAAAACATTTGGGGGCATGGTGGGGATGTCATAATATTGAAAAACTTTTTTCTCAGTTCAGCTGAAATAGATGTTTTGATACGCATCAGACAGCACTTATGGGGAAATTAGTGTGGTGCTCTCCCAGCAACAGTCACTCCTAGGGGAAGCAGAAGTGGGCTAATTTTTTGCTGCCTGTAAGGTGCATGAATGGATTTCCTGCTGGTCACATAAAGATTACCTAATTAATTTTGCAAAGCCTGCTTGACTTTATGCAGTTATAAAAAAAATTATGAAAGGGCTTACTGGTCCAGTGGTAGGCTGGGACTCAAACACTTTCTTATTATGCCCAACAGAAAAGAGGGGAGAGGGAGGGATGACAGTACATTAGTTGTTGATATATGTAAACATTACAACAAAGATTTGAAATTACAGGGTTTTTTTCTACAGCCCTTATTTGCCTTGATCACTTTCTTACACATGTGAGCAGCATGGGATGAGATGTGGATCAGAGGCTACAGTCCTAGAAGTTTCTCTGTGGTTCTTGGGTAGCATGCAGAGCGTGGGTCTTCAGCGTTGGTCATGCTAAAACATTCAGGAAGTACATAAAATAGCAATGGTCATTTTAAAAACATGTAACTGTGCAGTTTACCTGCAGTTTGCTTTCTGGGATTTCTTCTTGTTGGCAGAAATACCGGTGTCTGAACATACATCTGGAAAGAGAGGGTTTGTCCCCAAACAGCAACCTGTGTATTCATGTTCAGTATGCAAAGCAAGGGCACAGATGTGGCTCTCAAAATCCTGGCTTTAAAAATCATTACTTTATTTTCCACAGCATTTTTATGTCTGTCTGGAGATTCCTAGAGGCTGTTTCTGCTAGACTTTCATTAGTCTTCGATCCTAAAAGTAAAATTTTCAAAAGCTTATGGGATGACTAACAAAAGGAAATAAAAACATTTGTTTGAGGTCTGTCCACTGTAATGTGTCAAAGACACCTTAAATGAAAAAAGAATCGGTATAAGTGAACAAGATGGTTGAGATTTGCCTCCCTGCTCACTCACCCAGAGATCTTTCCTCCACAGGGCCCTGGATGCTTTTGGGCAACGAGGCATAGATATAAACCCGGCAAGAATTGCTCTGTCTAATAGTTTAAAACTGAAGCGACAACTGGATTATGAAGAGCAAGCGTTGCAACAGCTGAGTGGGGTAACCATAAGAAATGCATCCCCTTCACAACTTTGGACTCACCATGGTCATCAGTGTGATTATTCATTTTGCTTTTATTCACATTCTAGGGAGATCCATCTGTCATTAACCCAGCTCACCTAATGTGGAAGAGAATGAAATTTCTCAAAGGGGAAAACTGTTCCTTGGTTACAGAAAAGAAGTCTCTCAGCACAAGTGTTCTTACTGGTAAGACAAAAGAAAGTGGTTTTGCAACGTTAAGTATTGAAGCACAATTTTAAGACAGGCTGAATAGATCAAAAGGAAATGTAAATAAGCTCTGTAAATATCACAGTAAGCTAAAATTAAAGATCAGGTTGTATCACTTAAGAGCTGGACACTTTAAGGTACATTTGTTAACTACAAAGTAGATGGTTTCATGTATGTTCACACCCTTGCCTTGGAGGTAGCAGAGATCAGCTTAATGGAGATGGGTTTACCTTGTGCTGATCCAAGGTGTGGACATCTCAGAGCTCAAACTGATGCTTTTTCTCTACAACATTTTGTTTCCTTACACAAGCATATCGTGGGTGCAATACTGCTCCTAGAGCTTGTGCTGTTTCTGGACTTCCTTTGTGACAAGGTGTCAGTATGCCTATGCTGTGTGACTGTCACACCGAGGATCACTTTGAATTAGTAATATCTACTGTAGTTATTACAGTAGCTTAATGTAATTTAACTTTTTTTTTCCTACTGTGTAAATCAGATGAATTTGTCTGTAACTCAAGAGGTCTGAGCCAATCAATGAATCAACTGCAGCAGCAACAGCAGCAGCAGCAACCACCCACGTGTGGCAACCCTGGTGAGAATTTGAAAGCAGGAGCATTTCTCCCTCCGTTCTACAGTTCCCATTATCAGGACTATACTGTCCAGGCAGCTCATAAAGCATCAGGTAAGAGCTGTCAAATACAGAAATTCAAAACTGTTGGTATTTAGTTGTAGTACTTATTCCATGAAAGAAAACACTCAAAAAATAGGGAGGAGGATGATAAACCAAGAACCAAATAGATATTGCTTCATAGAACAAAAAAACAGTTCTGTTGTTTAGTATGAAAATGTTAATGTTTACATTTGTAATGTATGAGGAAAAATTATTGTTGCCCTTCATTTCAGTTAAACTTAGTACATTTTTACCTTGGAGGACTAGTTGTCCTCCATCCATACTCTTGTCCTGTGATGGAATTGATTGAATTGTACTGAACATCATAACATCAATGTAGCATTGACATGGGAGGTTTGTAGGTTGGAAGCTTAATATGTGCTTTCTAAGAGCTGAAATAAGTAATTAAAGGGGACATATATAGGTGCCTTTTAATATATAAGGGGAGTGGATGTCAATTTGGAAACTGTGTTGTTTACTATAGCTTTCCTCATCTGCACCAATATAATTTTTCTTAGAACAATCTGAATCGGGGGTGGAGGTGAAAAACTGCACCTGTTTGTGTGACAGGCTTGCAACAGTTTAAGGCAGAGCGATGCATAGGTTTGCTCTGAAACCTGTAACTGCTGGTGGTTTGAGGCATATTGACATAAATACAAGATGAAATTATAACTGGTATAAACAAAAGAGGGAGGAGAGTAAAGGCCTCTCTCTGCCTCTCTGGTCTCAGCACTATGACTTACTTCACTAATCTCTTCCAGGTCTGACCAGTCGTCTGCTGGGGCCCTCCTTTGAACCCTATTTGTTGCCCGAGTTGACAAGATATGACTGTGAGGTGAACGTCCCTGTTTTGGGCAGCTCTACGCTTCTGCAGGGCAATGAACTGCTCAGAGCGCTGGACCAGGCAACCTGAGTGATCCTGCAATATTCCGTGGCCTGTACTGTTCAAAACAGCTTCAGTTTTTAAATATATTTTTGCAAGTAGACAATTTCTAATACCAATACACCTTTGCAGGATTTTACGTAGATATTTTACCTGTCCACGTTACCAAATAGTGGCCTTTTGAAGTTACTCACTTTATTATTCATAGTAAATAAATACATCTACTGTATTTTCTCTATTGCAATTAATTAAAATGTTGTTTAGAGAGTTTGATTACCCTCCCCTTATCTCATTACCTGTAATTTATACTCTGAAATTTTCTTCAAATTTCATGCTAATAAAAAGCTGTGGTATAAATGCCTCATCATGTGATAACTTTGGCTGCAGTACTGCAAAGATTTATTTTTATTGCCAAAGATGAATGAAACAAGTTTTGTCTCCAACCACAGTTTCTGATCTGCCAAATTGAAATCCTTTGAGTCTTTCTGTTTTCCAGCATTTATGGTATTGTAACTTTAATAACCTTTGTAAAAGCATACTAAGGAAAACTCCCAGCCTTACACCTGTCCCCTTCCCTTCCATTTTTTTTATACACTTTGTTGAAAGAAATGTGAATGGTGAACTGCAATGTTTGTGGGTATCTGTGAAGGTTGCACATTATAAGCTTTTTTCCTCAGAAGGAAGCCACATTCTCAGCTGCCTTAACCTGGCTTAGCTCTATAGCCACAGGAGTCCTGCAGATTTACCCCAGTGGAGGATTTAGACCTGTGTTTTCATTTGTGTTGGGGTTTCTTGTTTTGGTCTTTGTTGTTGCCTTTTTTCTTTTTTTGCCCCCACAAAACAGGCTTGTTTTGGGTTTTTTAATGTCTCTCTGGGTCAGTTGTTAATCATCTCTTGGTACTTCTGCTATATCTAGGACACAACAACTTTTAAGAGCTGTTTCTGCTAGAACTAGTATTTGTTATGGTGTTGCTGATATTTTGGGAATCTGACCAGTGGCCGGTACTAACCCCTCTGATTAATGTTAGCCTTTTTCATTTTGCATGCTAGCTAGCAATATAATTGCAATATTGAATCATTAAAAACTAAAAGTTAAAGTAGTATTTCCCAGCATATTAGGCTAACTCAGTTGTTATAAGTAGACAAAAAGAATTAAGGATGGTGTAGAGAGATGAACAGCTGGCAGGCAGGTCTCTATCATTTTTACTGGCCTTACAAGCCAGACATTTGCAGAGCTCCCTTCCAACTATCAGTAGTTGTCATGCACATATTTTAAAAAATAAGGCTTTGAATGCTTTCAAAGACAAAGCAATTTGAAAATATAAATTACAACATATTTAAACAGCAAAAATGTTAAAGTAATAAAAGGCAGGTGAGCAGTTCTGACTTTAAAATAGATACAGACCTAGGTATATGTTGGGATACATCATCTTGTTTCCTCCACTGGTATAAATCATCGTAGCTTCAATGAAGAAAATTGAACAGTGGCAATGTACAAAAGGGGAAAATCTGGCCCTGAAACTTAGAACAAAGATATATTCTTTTGAAACTGCTGATTCTGCTGAAGCCTGGTTTATAAAATTGCTTTCTATCATGCACTGACACTTGCAGAGAGGGAGCCTTGTGTTCATTGAGCACTTCAGAGTTCGCTGTGTTGAGCGAGTCTTAACCACAGATACTTGGAAGAGCTGAAGATATTTTGTGTTATTGGTACATAATGTGAAAAAACGATAGTCCCTATTGTAGGTAATCTTTCAAGAGTTTATTATCAAAAATAATTTACTCCTAAAGTGAAGTTATTGCCCTGTGAAAAAATATATTGTAAGCATCAAAATCTGATTAAAATTGGCAAGCCAGATTTGACAAATAAATATGCAGTGGCAAGGACTTAAAGGCTTCAAGGATTAAAGACACTTGAATACTGCTTTTCTGTTTCTTACTTGTGTAGTTTCAGCATTAAAATGTTATGCCCTAACAGTTTACTCAAACACTCTGAAAAAATATTCCATGTCTTAATATTAATCATACTTTTTATCATAATTATTTCATAATCTATATTGCTGAATTCTTATTGACAATATTATAACTGTATGGGAACTTTAACTTGATAAGGAAATGTATTTTGACACTGATACCTTATTAAAGTATACTGATCCTAAATTCTTTGTGACTCATTTGCTATGAATTTGTTATTTGTTGTATCATTGTAAAACAAAAGTATTTATTAAATTATTTATAGAAAATAAAGGTTTGCATTGATCTTTGAAGAATGAAAGAACAAACAAAAGTTACCCACATTTGAGAGCTGAGAAGCAGCCTGCCAAAGCTCCATACCACCAACCTTTTTGTAGAGTTTATCCAGCTTTCCTCAAACGCAAAATTAATGCCCTGCAGACAGCCCTTCTGAAACGCATCCCGTGGTTCAGACTGCTGCTTCCATTGCAAACGTGTATTTTTGTCTGAAGAGCTGAGTGTGCCTCTTGTAATGCTACCCTTAAGAAAAAAAATAAAGTTGACAAAATTACATTTTAGAGGCTGAGTTGACACAGTTTTTGTGGCAGTAACATAGACCATCATATTCTGGCCGGCCTCACAAGGCCATGAATAATGGGCTTCCCCCCCTCCAAGCCTCTGTTCACCCACTCTGTCCTTTATCCCTATGCTGTTGTTAAACATGCCAATCCTTTTCCGTATCTAAATTGCCAGTTTTGCCTGTGCAGTAACACTGATCACACTGTAGGACAGACACATTAAGAAATTAGTGACGTCCAAACATGCACTTAAAGTATGACTGGACTGTGTGGAAGCTGCTGGTGCTTGACCCTTCTGGTAACTGCTTTTGAAACATGCAGTGCCCCTACAGACACCGCCGAGCTTCTCAAACAACAGTGAATCTTCTGAGTGACCTGCCTAAGTGGGCTATCATCGCCTCCTTTTCTAGGTGGGATGCTCAACAGATGTCGAAAGTAACTCCCTGCTTCTAAATCTGTTGTAATTAACAGTAATCACACAACACCCAGCAGTGCAAAGAGTGGTGTGCCTGTTACCCTCCCTTTTAAAGCATCCCATTGATCTTCAGGGCACTTGGCAAAGACTAACTCAGCAAGTCAGATCCTTATCCAACTGGAGGTAAAAAAAAAAAAGCCAATCTCTTCAGCAGAGATTAACCTGTTCAGATCAATTTCTGTCTTTTCAAGGTAGTAATCACTAACTGCTACTGTAAAATAGTGCTGCCAGGTACTATTTTTCGGGGGGTATCCCACTCTTACTCCGAAGAGCTTCAAGCATTCACCACTCTCATATTCAAGCAGCTTAAGGAACATACTAGTAGTGCCGTCACCTTTCTCCCCTCTCCCCTCCCTCCTTTCTACTACAGCTAAACACTTCTCAACGTAGTGAGGTTTAGTGGGTTTTTTCCCTTATGCATATGAATGTCCTGGATAGCTAAGCTCTGACATTGCAACACACATACATATCCAAAAGAACCAAATCCTGGCCAGAAACATAATACCTAGATTGCACAATAGCTGAGCTTTGTGCTGCTGAAAAGGAGTTTATTATAGCTTTTTAAAACCTTTTTTTTTCCCCCAGTAGGCCAGCAGAAGTGCTTAAAATTAAGCGTACATCATCTTTCACTGCCTAAAAGCACCATTTCTTGGCATCAGATCTTCCATCTCCAACAGCATAGACAGAACTGATAACAGCTAGGTTGTTCAACGCTCACTACATTCTCCTGAAAATCAGGCAGTTTTGACAAACAGTTGTGACTGGGACTCATCTCTGTGTCCAGCTGATTTTCAATTCTATTGTATTTTTTAAAATGATCAAGCCAATGTTTTTCCTAGACCATAGATTTCATGCAGGTAAGATTCACGCTTTTTATCGACCAAATGGTTACAACATAATGGTGCAGAAAACTCTCAGCATCCTGGTGTGTGTGTGTGTATATATATATATTTATAAAAATGATTATTAATAAAACAGCAAAAAAGCCCCACTAACTTGGCGCGAAGTCCAACTATCTTTCAGTCAGGACACCAGCTCCTAAGCACTGCCGAGATCTGTGGACAGTAGGTGATTATCATGCTTGCACAGTAGACAGAGCCCAGAAAAACACTCTACCACACAGCTGCTCCAGTTCCAGACAGTGAAGGTTTCATCTGTTACTTCTCCCTGATGAGCTTTGTAAAGCTATTCACACACATGCCAGATTTTTTTTTTTAAGAGCTACAATGGAGAACTGTAAATATTCACCTATATTTAAACAGCACTAATTTCTTTTTTCCCCTTCCAATTCTCTTATTATGGGCTTTTCAAGAGACCAAAAAAACGCCATTTTTTTAAGAAAAAATAAAATCCTTAACAATATTTTCTTAGGACAACAAAATCTGTCACACATCCCTGTTCTGCTCCCTTAGCAGAAGCCAAGAGGCAGGACAACAGTCGCCTTTCAGTTATCTGGGGCTGCATGTGGGCTCACCCTGACCCACAGGGAAGGCAGGCATGGATTCCTGCTCCCTCGGGCTCTGTTCGTTGTTGCTAACTGAAGCTATAAAAACACCATAGGAAGGCTCTAGTAATTAGTTATGTACCTCATTTTTGGGTGTTCACATCAAAAACCACCCCAAATTTTAAAAAAAGTGAGAAAAATGTTAGCTACTCAGCTGGGAAGTACAACCGACATTTCTTTTGCCTGAAAGCCAGCCTGCAGTTTTGACAGCGTGATGTGCCACAGCTCCCACATGGAACATTTTCTTTGAGGAAGTCCTAAACTCCTGTAATCAAGGAGGTACTTAATTATCTTCAGTCATGCCTCCCCATTAGTAATGTGGTTTAGATATCTCATTAGGAAACAGAAGCACGAGTGTGAGCCTGGCTTGCAAAGCGTACCTGCAAGCCAGCCCGCATCAGCTGCTTCTGCCTTTAACACCGCCCAGGTGGCTGAATGCTGCCTGTAAAGCCAGAACAACTTCGAGCCAGAAGAGGAGCAGCATGGATTCACTCTTAGTCCTCTCAGCACCACAGAGCTAACACTAGTGGGATGGGAATCCAGATTTGTGGTTCCCCAAAACCTTCTTCCCATACAAATAATTGCATGGTCAGGGCAACATTAAGCTGGTTATAACCCATAAGTCAGAAAAATCAACGGTGAACACTCCTGCAAGCAAACTAAAACCCACTCAAATATGTACACTGGAGAGAGTGACAGTGAAGTGCTCCCAACACCACTTCATCACCATTTTCCAGAACAAAGCTCTTTCTAAAGACATTGACAGGGACACATTTTCCCCAGTTATAATTGTTTATGCAACTGAATTTTATTTTAGGTTCTCCAGTGAAAAAAACAGCAGCTTGAAAGTCTTGCTCTCTTTTTCACAGTTGCCAAAACCCCCTGACGGAAGCCCACAGCTCCCTGGCATTACTTTGTAGCAGAAGTTGCACGAACTTGTAAGTGGCAAACAGCAAAAGTTGCCTCATATGATGAGCCTTACGATCAATATGAACATACATAATTTGAGTTCAGACGCTCCTCCACACAGCAGGACCACAACAGTATTACATGGGATCAAACGAAGCATAAAATGGGTGTCACCACTGTCCATTTTTAGATCCACCACATGCTCTCTCGGCTTTTTTCCTGGAAGAGCAGGCAATACTAATTGTGTCTATCGCCTTCCCTCCAACACTGATAGCGCTGTCCTTAACCACAGCCCCCAAAGCAGAGTTAACAGAAAGCAAACCAATGGAAGCTTACTGGGAAAGCCAGCTACTCTCCATTATTTTAACTGCAACTGCAAACATCAAGGTGAGGTTTTCTGTGCCTTACTCAACTACAGAGATGCTCATATTTTTTAGTGTATTTACACCTTTCAACACAGCCTGTGGTTCACAACTTCAACTTGTTTTAAACTTTAGTCAGTTTTTGGAGTGCACAGTATCATCTCTTTTAGGGCCAGCCTGATCACTGCAGAAATCTCAAAGATAACAGAGA